TCCTCCCGAGGTTGCCCTCGGAGCTGCCGGCCCTCCGCACAGCCGGCGTTCCAAGGGCAACCTCCCACTGCAGCGTCCGCACACGCTGTGGCAGATAAGTCAGTGAAAGTGCGCCCTACGCTTTTAGGGTGCACTTTCACTGACTTCTGAAAGGAGCGCTGATTTAGCACTCCTTTCAGAGGCGCCGACGGTGCGCCGTGGTGCAGATGCCGCGGGCCCGCGGCGCACCATCCCACGGCGTCCCGGATGCCCTCGTCTGCTTCCCCCCACTAATAAGAAAAGAAAAGAACCAATATGCAATAATACTTTCATATTGCAAGGAAAAAACAACATTAACATAACACCAAAAAAAGGATAAAGCCCACCTGATAAAGAAGAGTGATTTTTAAAAGGAGAAGAAGGTAGACAATGAGTAGCCCCATTTGCCAGCTTAGCTGACTACTACTACTACTGCTACTAATAAAATTTATTTATACCCTGCCCCACTGCATAGCAATCGGGGCGGCTTCCAACATAAAATTACAATACAATAAAATCAACCCTAAACCCCTGCCCTCCCACACCTTCAGGAGAAACTACACACAATGAGACAGTCTGTGAGAGGAAGAGGGAACACTGATACAGGAAGGAGAAGTACAAAGAGACAGAAAGCTATAGGTGTGGTTTGAGACATTAGAAGACTTTTACTTTTCTTTGCTCCATCTACTGCATTTGGTTCTTGTTCAAAGAACCTTAGCCAACATAATAAGGTCTGTAATTAAATGGAAGACTTCACAAGCAGTGGGTAAACTGGAAAATTCATTTGAGGTTATTTTTGCTAATATTAAGAGTGCTCTGGATAATAAAGATTTCATAAAGGCCATTCTAGAATACATCGGAGGACACTTGTGCACTCTTGGCCTCTTAATTGGACACCAGGAAGAGCAAAAAACGAAGGGAAATCTTCAGTGCCCAATTTATAGATACCAGACTACTGCTTATTTTTGAATGTGATTTTGAGTGTGAACTTAATATAGAACTGTTGTCAAATAAGGGAGGGACAAAAAAGGTGGGAAATGATGCTGGATAGAGGAAATGTGTGCAAGTATATACATGAATATGTCTTAGGGCCTTTGCAGACTGCCAGAAATAGTGCAAATTGAGTTCACTTTAACTGCCCTGGCTCAGTACTAGGGAATCATGGGAACTGTAGTTTATTGTGGCACCAGAGCTCTCTGACAGAGAAGGCTCAATGTCTCAGAAAAAACTACAGTTCCCATGATTCCCTAGCACTGAGCCAAGACAGTTAAAGTGGCCTCAAGCTATATTATTTCTGGCAGTCTGTAAAGGCCCTTTGTTACTTTTTTGAGATTATTTTCTTTTTGGTGTGATGTGTAGCTATGCATACATACACATACACTTGACAGAGATGTATTTTTCCTTCTAAGAACTATTGCAACCTTTTCTTTAATATATTGTAAGTTATATCACAATCCTTTTAGCTTCAATAGGTTTGAACAGGGCCTGTCAGTAAAAAATAGGATGATAATCAATTAAAAACAAAAACCAAACTCAAGCTATTTTCTCTTCTTTTGTAACACCCCAAACCAGTTGCCTGAGGTGGCTCCTTTACTTTTCCTAATGGTCTGCCTATGCAAATTTATTGAAATGTCCTCATTTAATTAACCAATTAATCATTCAAAGGGGAGATGATTAATCAGTTATAATCGGTTGGCAGTCGTAGTATAAATTCATCTCAATGCATTGCTTGGTCTTGGCAGCCAATTCATAGAAGGCAGGCTTCAATTTCGTTTGATGTCTTCAGAATCTCAAAGGCATGAGGCAGCTCTTCTGAAGTATGGTATCTTTGCTTAATTTTTACACACCCCAATCACTGTAAACTCTGAGCTTCTTCTACTCTTATCTTTCCCCTTTTACTTTTATGTTTTTAATCACATTTCCCAACTTTCACAACCCACGGGCAATGAGAGTCATGTTTCAGTCTGTAAGCTTTTTGAACACACATGCACAGATGCACAGACACAAATATACACACACAAAATATTTGCTTGCTTATTGTTATGCAGAGCCCCATTATTATTCTGTAGCATCTCTCAGCTTTCCCCCCTTAAGACACTGGTGGATTAATAGTAAGGATAAGCTAACATTTGCTTTCCTTCCCCATAGAGACAATCAATAAATGTAGGAATGCAAAGTTCTTAAGCGTGGAGCACTTGACAAGTATATGTGCTGACACCTTTAAATACACATGCCATAAATACTATCTCTTCATTAGCCAAGTGTGGTAGATAATTATCACCTACACAGAATTGTAATCTCTTTGCTTGCCAGGAATTTGCACATGGGTGGTTTCCCTCTACCTCAGGACAGTTGTGTAAATAAAAGGAAAAGAGCAAAAGCTTTATACTTTGGAAATGGAGTGAGTAACTGTGGTCTTCCTTCCTTTCTTTTGCTTTAACCCCCAGCAACCCGCTTACATATCTAGTTTGTTGCTGTGTCTTCAAGTTGTTTCCTTCTTATGGTGACCCTGTCATGGGGTTTTCTTAGCAACATTTGTTCAAAGGAAGTTTGCCATTGCCTTCCCCGAAAGCTGAGAATGTGACTTGCCCAAAGTCACCCAGTGGAGTTGCATGGCCAAGGGGGGATTTGAGCCCAGGTTTCTAGAGTCATAGTTCAACATTCAAACCACTGGCTGTATATACTCAATACAGTAACTGGAACCTAATACCTTAAAGACACCAGATCCTGTCTGAACTTGTAACTAAGCAGGGTTGGTCTCAGTTTAGCACTTGGATAGGAGACCAGCAATAAATATCAGTTGCTGTAGGCTATATTTCAGATGAAGGAACTGGTAAAACCACCTCTGAGTTTCCTTTACTTAAGAAAACCCTATGAAATTCATTGGTAAGTTGACAGGTGACTCAAAGGCACATCCAAACACACAGTTGCAGTTTATGAGAAGTGGAGTCCAGTAATATTTGGAACTACACAGTATAGAAGGATAGAAGGTAATAGGATAAAGAAAGATCTTGTCATAAATGTTCAAAGAATTGTGTAAGATGATACAGGTCTTTCAGATAGCTAGTCTGTTAATATTGAAGTTTGGAAGCAATAAATCTGATTAACAAGTCATTTTCCTTGGAGTCAAAAGGAGATTTCTTTTGTTATATGTACAGTTGCAATCACTTGCATATTAATATATGTTGTGTGTCAAGAACTCACTAATTTTCTCTGTTCATACCTCTCTTATGGATATATTCAGCTGTTTCACTCTCCAGTTTTCCTTTGAATATTTTTAGTACTCTATGGAACTGAAGACCCTGCATGGTGTAGTGGTTTGAGTACTGGACTTCAACTCAGGAGATCAGGGTTTGATTCCCAGCTCAGATATGGAAACCCACTGGTTGATCTTGGGTGAATTATACACTCTCAGCCCCACCCCCCTCATTGATTGGTTTATCTTAGGGTCACCAGCAACATGAACCTTATGTTAATGATGAATTGACCAACTTGCAGGGCTATCCCAAAGATCTTTTGTTGTCTAAAGCCAAGAACAGGATGGCATCAGCCCCAGTGAATTACACTGGCAGTTGTCATAGTATCTTTTGGCATTCCTGAGGGCAGGAAGCTGGTTTAGGGGGTGCAGTTATATGGCAGAAATAACTCACTCTGCCTAACACTGTTGCTGGTTCTGCTAATGTATCCAGTTTATCCATCTATTCTGTCCCATTTATCTACTCTAATTCTGACTGCATCCTACCAACATTGACACATATCAGTTTAACAAAAGAGTATTTACATATATCAATTTAACAAAAGAATAGCTGCCACTCATAATTCATAATGCATTGAACACTGGAGAGAGTGTCAGGTTCTTTGTTTTGAAGATTCTACTGTCGTTCATGAATTAATTTTGCATGTATTAATTTAACTGGAAGCCTGGGCATAAAAGAGCTCTGGTTACAAAATTTGACCTGTGGCTTTTATTTATTCAGCAATAAATCTCTATTTATTCACCTGTTTCAGTTTCTGAAATTTCTCTCTAAGTATTATATAATTGTTCACTGTTGTTATTACCACATACTCCCTCATTTTAATAATCCATTCATTTAGCTTTGGTGTTTTGCTTTCAGTATGTTGCACCTAATAAATGGGCAATGATACCCAAGTAACTTGCCAGTTCTGCATGTTTACTTCCCTGTACCAGGAGATGTATGGTAAAGTTCTGTCCAGGGGGAACTATGATGCATTCCTTCTGTTTCCTCCTGCAGGGCTCATCTTTCTCTTGCATCCTCTTCCACTGCCATCACAAGGGGACAATGGAGAAGCATCTGGTGGTGTGTTCATAACCAGCTGCACAATGATAATGTTATCTTCTAGGACTTGATGGGGATCCCAGGGGACCTAGAAGAATGTGCTTGTCATTCCATGTCTGTTTGCAGACACTTCTCCAATGCCCCTCCTCTCCAGTAGCCATTAAATGGCAGTGAATAAGGGATATAGGAGGAAGATGTGCTCTTTGGGAGGTTGTCATTGTGTGAGGGTGATAGTGAATTCTTCCCACTGCAATAACCCCAAAAGTTCAATATGTAGGTGTAACTATTAGTATGGCAGTCACTCTCTCTTTCTATATGTGTTTTACTGTTTTGGAACAATAATACAGTGGGCCCTTGATATCCTCTGAGGTTTGGTTCCAGGATCCCCTGTAGATACCAAAATCCATGGATGCTCAAGTCCTATTAAATACAACGACATAGTAAAACAGTGTCCCTTATATAAAATGGAAAAATCAGGGTTTGCTTTTGGAATTTATATATGTTTTAAATATTTTCAAGCTGTGGATGCTTGGATCCATGGATAAAAAAAGCCATGGATATGGAGGGTTGACTGTAAATTGAGACTTCTTGGATTTATCAGTTAGGATTGCACTCCCAACTATGCTTGAGTTGATCTATTGAAATCAATGGGACTTAAGTTAGCTGTGAGTAATTTGTCCTGGTGGTTTTGATGGGTATGCTCTAAGCCTGGCTAAGCGTAGATCCAACCCAACTACAAAAAGAAACAACATTAAAATATCTATTTTGAATGAAAATAAACACTCCTACTGATTAATGAAGCTATAACACCAGTTCAAGTGATGTGGACCATTTTAGATTAGCTTGATTTTCTGACTCTTTTCAAGCATAATATACATTTGTATGAATACTTGTGCACTACTTTGGAATTCACAATGTCCCAAACCCTGCTTATAGGGCTTTAAAGAAAATAAGTTATAAATTGAATGGAGAATGAATGCCACTAACTTGTATACCTTAGTTTTGCAGAACTGTCATTCCCTTTCTCTCATTAGGCCATTCCTGAGTAAAATCTTGTGAAAAGGTTTTTAAGGAGAGGGAGGGTCCTTAAAAGTTAACAAGTTGTGTTGGCAGTGACCAGCTGCAAATTATGTAACCCTCTCACATATTATAACCACAGCTTATTTGACAGGCAGAAGCACAAACTTTCAGCATTCGATGGCAGACACCTTTGTCACACTCTTTTTTTTGTTTTTGTTTTGAGCTGCTCCTGCCACTGCCAACTGTCAATGAAATCCCCAAGGCAATTCCTGAGAAAGCAAGAGCTGCCCTCGAGGGACTCCTGCAAGCCATCCTGGGTCCAATTCTGGCCGAGTGTCACATAAGTAAGGTTTGACTGATATATACGAGTATGTATATGTGGGGAAGGGGAAAATGCGAGGAGAGAATATTTCTGAATTGTTTTCTGAAATAATGTTGCAAATTTCTTGTGAGCCATCTGTAAATGAACACTTAGATTAAAGACAAACATGAGTACCATCTCAATGTACCACAGTGCCCAAAGTTTTCACTTAGTATATGAAATCACTCAGGGATTTATAAACGTATTACAAGTAGAAAAGCTCATTTATGATGACACAAAGACAAAGGACTGTGTCTTACAACAAGAGACTGAACAACTCATTTTTATAGTACTACTATTGCTACTAGAATTGGCTTGCCACAGGGCAGTATATAAATAAAATTTATTATTAGTATTATTAGTATTATTAGTATTAGTATTCAACCTACAAATTTTTACGTTAAAAAATATTCAGAAAAGGGTTGTAAAAGCTGAAAAATCAAATTATAAAATGACAGGATTATGCTTGTTGGGGTGTTGCTCCATTCCCTTCTAGTCAGCAGCTGGAAATAATAATAATAATAATAATAATAATAATAATAATAATA